GGGGGGGGGGGGGGGGGAGGGGGGTTGGATGCAGACGGGGTTCAACAGTGGTGCTGGCAAGGAAGAAATGGGGGGCGGGACGGTGTTTCGGGAGGTAGAGGTGCGGTTAGGTACATAAGTGAAGTTGCGAGGGATGGGGAAGAAAGGTCGGGTTGGGGCGGAAGTGCAGACTTGTGCCGGTAACCGCCTCGGCTTAGGGCGACTGGGTGTGAGATGCATGCCTGGACAGGGGGGGTGCGGCGGCTCCCATTGGCGGTGGATCAATCTTTATGAGTGTAGAGGCGAATAAGCGGAAGCCAGGTGGCGTGGGACATGAAATGATTGAGCGCCAACTCTTCAAGTATTGCAATGCTGCCAATCAGGGCACGCGGAATCTAGGGGGCGCGTCTTTTTGCGTACTGTACTCTCTTTTTGCGGCACGGAGCTCGTCGAGCCTCCTTTTGGGTGCTGACCTATGTTTGCACCACCGCTGCCCCGAACCCCCGCCGCTTTCCCCAACACCTTCGATGCTCCGTTCTACGTCATCGAGCATCACCTCATGTGCAACAGTATTTCTTCGACACAAGTCTGATATCTGTCAACAGATACAATCTATCGCCTGCGCAGGATAGCAGCGTTACGTCTTGTCAGCGTGGTCTTCAGTGACATCAACCGTGCAAGTGCATCACCCGTTGATGTCAAATGCCGTAGCTTTGTCGTAGCCCAGGAGGCGGACGACCAAGATAAATGAGCACTTCATTGGGAAGAGTAACGGGCACCGCTGCTTGATAAACGCATATGAAATATGATATGAAATATGAAAGAAACTCGTACTGTAACTCGTCTAGCGTGCATGTTCAGATTGCGAGGCATCTATCATACTAGAGCAGCGCAACTCGGCGCCGTAGGGGGAGATAGATTTGATAATTTCGGGGTTTGGCAGTGAAGCAGGAGGGAGGGGCGAGTGAATATGTGTCATAGTCTGCAGTTGTGGTGCATGTACGGCAGGAAGTGGTGTTTGAACGTCAGTGTCTTTTGGTGGTTTGTTTTAAAGTCGACAGGGAGCGGGACTCTCGACTGATTGTGGTTGTCTCTATTCCTATTTAAAGCTTGATTCTGATAAGGGCTTGAAGATCTGTATTCACCTGTTCGCGCTTCAACTTATGGTTATGAACAATGCAAATTTGACGCAAACTACCGTACGGGCAGTTAGGACGAGGTCGGTGCGCTATTCCTTTCTTCAGTCGTAAATTTCAAGCAAAGGTGTGTACTGTAGAGACGATAGGGAGTTGGGGCATGGGAAGTCGCCTTTCCTCTTTCCATTCCCAATGAGGAACGCGCTCATAACGGTACCATCCGAATCATTTGACGCAAGAGCTGAACGTGAGTGTGCAAGTCTCTTTCCGACGAGGTGGCACTGCTCGTACCCAAACAGTCTTTGAGATTCGATGAACAATAATTCTCATTCGCATGCTGTATCGCAGCATCGAAATGGCGGTCAAAGTGGCGGCCAAACCGAATGCAACCAAGTCGGAGAGGAATTTTGCGACTAAACACCTCTCTCGAGAGGCCGAGAGATGATGTTTATTTATGATCTTGATCAGCTGCAACTAGGGTCTTAGCTCTGTTGTAAATAAAGATGTAAGGTAAACTTTATTTACAACCAGGGAGAGAACCCGCTGCGGGTCGCTGCAGGGTCACATTTACAACCAGGGAGAACCCGCTGCAACTATTGCTGATGTCAGCATGTCAACATCAGCATCTGCAGCATGGATTTCTTGCATCATTGCTGTCAACAGCAGTCAACAGCAATGAGGCAAGAAATCCATGCTGTACACGTGTAGATACAAAGCAAATTCATACGTTTCGGAATCTGCACCATTCTGTTTCCAGTGAGACCAGTGGCCATGTGCACGATTGATGCACAGACGTAGCCTCAAAAAATAGTCGACTTTCTGCATACATACCGCCGCATAGCCTTCTGAATCAAAGTCGTGATGAAGCAAGCCTGGGAAAATGGTCTCTGAACAGAAATCTGACAGATTGTTGCTGTCCCTTTTTCGGGGGGGCTCGAAGAAGCTCTCATACGCTGGCTGACACCGCCGCTATTTGTTTTTTTCCCTAGTTAACAGATTCCTTCAACGAGGCAATTTCGCCCGGGGGAATACTTCCACACGCACACACACGATTTTTGCCGGATCGTCAACTGCAAAGTATCCAAGAAGCGTGAAACTTCAAGTACCAGTCAGGGCCTCGCCGGCCTGATGCCGAAATCAAAGCTACTTCACAAAGAAAGCGACGCTATTCGTTTTTAACTGCACTTTCCCCGACGATGAATTTGACACAGATCACAGATTTGTGCCAAATATCACAAGAATTCTACATCCGAGCGAGGGAATCCTCGCCCATGAATTTTCTGTTGCATGCCTTGCGACATTGCGACGGTAAAAGTGGTCGAGTAACTTACAGAAATGGCACTGGCAACGGTTATCGTTTTGGCACAGCACTTCAATTGTGGGATGCGTGAAGGCGAGCTGACGTCTTCGCAGTCTTTGGCGGCTCTTCGACAAAGCCACACTCTGCGCACGTCCTCTTAGCCGCATCGGCGTAGTACTCCTCGATGATGGGTACGAGGTCTTTGCCGAGGTCGGTGCACACAAACTCGCGTTCAAACAACACTCGGGCGCATTCTTCCCGCTGGCAGTACCATCTGAGGCAGTCGAGCTCCCCCTGGCGGCGTTCGCGCTCGACGACGATGCCGAGGCTGCCGGGCATCATCCCCCTTCAGCGAGTCGCGGGCCGGGAGGCAGAAAGTCTCGCCTGCGGATATGGGGACGTCGTATAAGGCGCCGTCATCGACGACTTTGAGAACCATGTCCCCCTCGAGCTGGTAGAACCACTCCTCGCCAGCCTCGATGTGGTAGTCTGTGCGCGCGTTGGGGCCGGCCACGAGCATCACCTTGAACTCACCTTCGAACAAAAGCTTGTTTCCCACAGGAGGGACGAGCAGGTGGCGGTTCGCGGAGAGCCATTTCTGGATGTTGAACGCTTGGAGGCGGCCCATGGCAGTGGGGGGAAGGGGGAAGGGGGAAGGGGAAGGGGGCGCAGAGTTGGCAGAAGGAGGGCCTCAGCCAAGCCGGCACAGTTGGTGATCTCAAAGTGCGTTTGGAAACAGAACACAGCGAATCAGGGGGAGACATGTTTACGGGCAGCACCTACACGTGGACAGACGATAAGCAGGGGAGCACGAAAAAGAGAAGACCAGTCATGTGACCGAACATGTCGTTATCTTCCTTCCTCTAACTAAGAGCCAAACCGCCTCTGCCATGTTGCATTAGTTCCTTCCCCCAAGAGCCAGGCCGCCTCTGCCATGTTGCATTAGTTCCTTCCCCCAAGAGCCAGACCGCCTCTGCCAGCGTCGCCCACATCCCAGAATCCGTCCCCACACACTATGTCCGAGAACGCAGACCTGGAAATCAAAGCCGGCTGGGTCCTTCCCGTTCACCCGGACCCAACTGTCTCCCTCGAAAACCATTCTATCCTCATCAAGGATGAAAAAATCCTCGACATTCTCCCTACCGCGGCCGCCGCTGACAAGTATTCCCCCGCCACTGTTATCGACCGTACGTCCAGCATTGTCATGCCCGGCTTAATCAACGCCCATACCCACACCGGCATGACCCTCATGCGCGGCCGCGCAGACGACCTCCCGCTTCTCAAGTGGCTGCATGACGTCGTCTGGCCCATAGAGGGCGCCTTCGCCTCGAAAGAAGAGTTCTGCGAGGATGGCGCCATGCTCGCCGCAGCGGAAATGATCCGTGGCGGCATCACCTGCTTCTCCGACATGTACTGGTACCCCGCCGCCGCAGCTCGAGTCACCGTGCGCACGGGCATGAGAGCCGTCATCGGCATGGTCTTGATCGAGTATCCCTCTGCGTATGCAAAGGGCGTTGATGAATACATTGCAAAGGGGCACGACATTATGCAGCAGTTCCAGGGCGAGGACAGGATCACGTTTTCGTATGCTCCGCATGCGCCGTACACTGTCGCTACAGAGACGTGGAAGAAGCTTGGGGAACTGTCGCAGAAGAACGGGGTGTTTATTCATACCCACTTGCATGAGACGAGAGAAGAATGCAGCGCGAGTTGCGTGCTCGACCGCAGTCATCCGGCATGCCACTTGAGCGAGAATGAGTGCCATCCCGTGGAGGATTTTAGACGCATGGGGTTGTTGTCGTCCAAGTTGGTGGCCGCGCATATGGTGCACATGACGGACGAGGAGATTCAACTTTGTGCGGAGAAAGGGGTGAATATCGCACATTGCCCGTCGTCTAACTCGAAGCTCGCGTCGGGGTTTTGTCCGGTGCACAAATTTTTGAAAGCGGGGATTAACGTGGCCTTGGGGACCGACTCGGCGTGCAGCAATAATTCCCTAAGTTTGCTTGAGGAAATGAAGCTGACAGCGCTCAACACCAAGAACTTGGCTGGGGATGCGACTGCGCTGCCAGCATACACGGCGATTCAGATGGCGACATTCAATGGGGCGAAAGCTTTTGGTCTAGAGGATGTCACCGGGAGTCTCGAAGTTGGAAAGGCGGCGGACATCATCAGCATTGATGTCCACACGCATGCGGGAAATTCACCAATGTTCGATGCGCACTCTGCGGTTGTTTACGCCGCTGCTCGCGAAGATGTCAACGACGTGATGGTGAACGGCAAGTTTCTACTCAAGGAAGGAACGCATTGTACTGTAGATATCGGGGATACGCTGAAACGGATGAGTCACTGGCGCTCTAAGATAATGGAAGAATTTCCCCAAAAGTAAAGAGTCCAAAGAGAGGAGGGATTGATCGGAGAGATGATTCCCTATTCGTGATCGATTTGACCGAGAGCGCGAAGCTGGCCGTTGGTAGAGCGGTTCCCCTGGCGCACAGTCTGAACTTGTGTAATACTGCTTCTGACGTTGTCGGCACCCGTGGCAATGATGGCCGACATGGTTTCCACCATGTGGTCAGCGCACATAGCCATGCTGGTTCGGAGCGAGTTGAGCGTTTCTGCGATTCTCTCTTCCACGGCATCCAGTCTTGCTTCCATGTCCTTCAGATCTGAATCGATGTTTTCTGAACACTCGTTTTCGCGCAGGGGTGTTCCGGCTTGTAAACTACGGCTGGACGATTTGCTGCGAGCCTTGGTTCGATTCTGGGCGCGCGACTTTAGGCGGCGTTTAGATATGGCTCGTTTGGCGTCGGCGTTACTCTGTGGGGATGGCAGACTCTGTTGTTGAAGATGTAGTGTTAGAGGAGGGATGAAATGTCGTGGCGGTGGAAACGGGGTCCTTTTTCAAGCTGAACGACAGAGCTCATGGGCCAAAACATACCGTTTCTTGGTCGCATTCGGGGGCGGCTTCTGTTGGAAAATTAAAGGCCTGGAGGTCTGCATCCGGATGCATGTCTCGGCAAGAAAGCGGCAGACTACAGGTACACGGGGGTGAGTGCAACGAAAGGCTTCCTGGTACGGATGACGCTAGCTGAGCGGAGTTGGGTGGTATAAAATCGAAGGGATAGCTTCCATTTTATACTACGCAGCGACAGACGGCCGCCGTGTTTCGGTTGACGCCCTAAAACGCAACGAAACAAAGTTGGGATGGGCGAGCTCGCCCGAAACGAAAGCGGGCAATCACATTTCACAGATCGAGGTAAAACGCGCATAGCATGAGCTCCTTGCCCATATCCTGCGGCACGTGGAAGTTGTCTGCAAAAGAATCAAGCGAGGCGGCGTGGCCCCCCTCCGAGGCTCCTCGCGCGGCCGAAAGCATCTGCTGGCGCTCGCGGCTCTTGAAACGGGCCATGTAGTAGAAGTACTGGCAGATCTTCTCTAGCACGCCGCCGCTGAACTCTGGCAAGTGGATCACCTTGGTGCGCGACTCTTTGAAGGAATTCGTCATCATCTTCCGGATCACTCCAGATACTTTGGCATACTCCTCTTCCACCACAAAACTGAAGCCGTCCCCGGAGACTAGCTTGAGGAACCCATCCCGCACCTCGGGACCGGTCTCTTCGTCCTTCCCTTCGTCCTTCCCTTCGTCCTTCCCTTCGTCCATGCCTTCGTTGGACCGTCGTCACGCAGATCTTAGATGAAATCCAGATGTCGTCAAGGTGTTGTGCCTTAGACTGTCCCTACTAGACTTCGGTCATCTTGCCCGGGGTGCTCCAATCGCGGAGAAATCCTGGTAGACTGTATTGCTGTAGCGGCATAGCATACATACATAACTCCGCTTAGTCATGACTTCCGGTGCATGCGATGAGCCCCTGGCGAGTGTGACACTGTATCGAGATTTTTTTAAAGGGTGGTTGCATTTCCATTGAAAATCGTAAATCCAGCAGAATCAAGCTATGCATACAGTATAGTGCTCTTGCGCCCAAAAACAGTCAACCCAATTTTCCAGTTGCTTTCGAAAATCATGCGCGTACTACATTGGGCACAAGCACACCTTTTAGGCCGTCTCTCCCACTTGAGACTTGGTCCCCTTCACTGCCAAACATGTTTTCGTAAAACGGGCAATGAAAAAGCGAGAATGTTTTTTTTCGTGGCCGGGATTCGGATCGCAGTTTAAGAGTATACCTGTGCAAACATTATCTCCGGCGAAGGGCAATGAGAAACTAAACTGTCGGCGCCTGCAGTTCCAGCCTCCTTAACGTACGGAGCCTTCCTTCCTGGCACACCAAAAAGAGAATCAATATGCCGTGCATATAGAACAGTCCTCATATGAGGACAGTAGATATAAATATATATATTTTCTAGACGACGCAAGCACGATCTAACTTTGACGTCTACCGTTTGTATTTTTCTGTTGGAGGTTGACTCGTTTTATAATTTTTCTAAGTTAGAACCGATAATAAACCACTCTACAGAATGTTTCTATGCTACTGGTATAGAATTAGCTCAAAGAAAAATGCTGTCTGTAAGCTGACTTTTTCTTTTGAACACCTTTATGTGCGTCAACAAGTTGTTTCGCCAGAATTGATGAGCAAGTTCTTTACTTGCGGCAATGGACTTCTAGTTGCAAAAAAAGCAGAAGTTAAATCGCGCTTGCGGTGTCTAGAAAAAAACAAAGCAACTTTTGTCCTCATATGAGGACTAACGGTCTGATAGACACCAGAACGCATAGACGTACAATAGGTACAGTAATGTAAAGTGTCAGAATTATTGGTCAATAACCGGTCTCCGAGACACTTAACCTTATTGAAGTGCAACCCCGCCGAAAAGAAAGCTTCATAAAACTCACTGGTGTGTCATGGTTGCAAATCAACGTAATGGCGGACACTTCTTTGAAAATACTGTACCGTGCTTACAAATATGCAGAGAGGCTAAACGGGACTGGAGAAGGCATTTCAAGCAGGGGGTAAACAAGTGGTATGGTCGGTGGTGGTAGTGATGCGCTTAAAAGACATGGTCAGGATTTTGAGTCTTCGGTTTGCTGGAAATAAGTATATTGCGGATGTAGTAGCAGTGTGCGGATTTTTGTGTTGCGGAACTTGGGGCAGCTGCCCAGCTGAACGGCGAGTACGACGGAACCGCGCCATTGCATGAGCGCAGTGCCGAACTTCTCCTTAGTGAGCTGAATCTTCGAGACGTAGGAAGAAGCCCAGAGGATGGTGCGGAAGATGGAAATGCGGAGGACGACAAAGGTAATCAATGCGTAGTACGCCTTGTACGCAATGCGTGCAGTCGCGTAGCCATGCTAGGCGACGAAGGTACAGTACCAGGGCCGGCGTTATGTCGGGGTGGGATTGGTGTTCGAAAGTGATCGAGGAAACAAAGAAATGACATCAAAACTTTTGGGAGTCACAGGCCTGAGGCCCGTTCTTAACCCTGTGCTCCGGTTGTAGACGATTCTAGGGTCTACAAAATTTGTGACGATTTTGTATACTTGTCACAAGAGACGGCGGCGGATCGTCACAAAAATCTACTTGGAAAATGAGAGATATGTGCAATTGGATGATTGTACCAGATTGAAGTACACGTCTCTCATCGATTGCACACATCGTCTCTTTTCATGTGTTCTACCTCACAAACCGTCTCCTAACTCTACAACATCTCCTTTCACGATACCCTCTTACCCCCATTGCGTCCCTCCTCAATCTCCCTTCTATCAAACAACTCCGTTTCCAGGCAAGCACGGAGATCATGAGCGATCGCGCTCTCTGTACAGACCCAGATGTGGGTGATAGCGAGAGCAGTCCTGCGCGGCCGCAGACTTCAAAAAATGCAGATAGAGACCAGCACAAATCAGTTGAAATTGCAAGCGATTCTGCCAATGAATCGCATTCACTACAAGTCGATAGCCCTCCCAATCTATCGCCTCCCCTCCCGTATTTTGGCACTCTAACAACTCCTGCTCTTTCACCTGCTCCAGCCCAAGACCCTGGCGGCTCACCCCTCCCCTTCAATCAAATGAGTACGCTTCATGACGCAGGAATGCCTTCGGATATGGTGGAAAGTATACCATGCTCGCCCTTTCAGCAGCAATTGGCAGCCGTGGATGACTCAATGGACTCGAGTGATGTGCCATTCTCCCAAGAGCCCATTGCGTCACCTGGAATTTCCTGCTCTTCGGAGGAAATTACCGCAGCCACCTGTCACATTGCAGACTCAGAACTACAATCTCTATGTAGTGCCACTCGTGTTTCAAATATTTTATCATCGACATGCGATTCCGGCGGAGATCTCTGTGAAGACATTCACAGTAGGCTGTTTGCAGACTTTGATGACGAGAGGTATGTCAATATGCCGTGGACAGGTGTAATGGAAACTGAGGACTCTACTATTCGAGCTCCAGTATCGGATCAGGAGCTTGAGGGTCGAGCGCGGGGTCATCAAAATGGGGGGCTTACAAATTGGGACTATGACAGCCCTTTCTCTTCAGTGGAAGTGAAGATTGATGATGTCGATACTACTTTAGGCCTGCGGTTTGTGACAGAGGCTAACACAGTACTGGAAAATGTTCTAGAAGACATAAAGTCCCGGCACAATCCGGAAACCTGCGAGCTACCTGTCACCATCACGCCGTTGGCATGCTTTGAAACGTTTCTCACAGACTGTCTCCTTCAGAAGCTGGTATCATTTTCAAATAGAGTTCTGCTGCACCGTCGGAGAAAAGCCACAGATCGTTTGGAGTTGGAAGGAATTATTATTTTGCACGCTTTGTGCGCGATGTACAATGAGTCTCCAACAACTGTATCTGACCCCACCGAGCGAGAAAACTTCTTGCAGATGGGAATAACTTCTCAGAGGTATCATGAGGTGTGGTCTTCTTTAAGCGGTACCAAAGAAAAGCGAGCAGTTCATGACTACAGTCCAACAGGGTGGTGCAGGAGTGCAAACAGAGCCACGTCTATGATTACAGTTGTGGAGTCCGAGGTCGCTTCAATCAATCGTGAGTTACTCTATGTACCTAATGCTACAGTGTTTTCCCTCGACGATGACCATCTTCGCATGGCCTCTCGAGCTGTGATGAATCTAACGTACCTTCAACAGCACAACAATCCCAAAAAAGGCCTAGGGCCAGTGGGAAATGCAATTTGTTCAGCGTTAAACCCTCTATTTATTGCCTGTCACTTTACAAGGCATGGCGAGAAGCTGCGTCATACGTGGGAGCGTTTGGCACAGCTCGTGCAGGGGGCATCTACAAATGGGGCACTCCGGGCAATGCCAGAGGCGATCTTTGCCGCAGACAGAGGTTATAACTCGAAAGAGACAATTGAGTTTGTGGGGTGCACTCTCGGGGCCAGTTTAATTGGTACACATAAACGAGACTTATGGTACCCTTATGTATTCGGAGATGGTCCTATCACTGCGAGGCACAGAGGAGTTATTGTGTCCGAGAAAGGATGTCGTGCAGTTTATAATGCACGTCTAAAACCTGGTTCACATGTGAGGTTCGGGATTCGACAGGTAGAGGCATGTATTTATCGGGAAAGTTGTTCTGGCAGGATAGCAGCCCTGGTACATAATAATGCCGCTATGTTTCCTTCCAGATGTTTTACTGTCGTCGTGAAAGATGCCTTTCGCTCTGATGCAGGTATGAAGGAGCTCAGTGAGTCCCTCGTGGTATTCAGTTCCGGTCCAGACAGAGGGGCGCCGAACAGGTCCGTATTTTCGGAGGACGGACGCAGGATTGTCAGTCAAACACTCAATCGTGTCAATGCGTTAACGTATCTACAATCCGAAGATCCAGTCTGGTTTCTACTGCGGGCATTTCGATTTACTTCAAGGACAGCCCATGGGTTTGTCGCGGCTGTGGCACGGGACTACGATACGAGATTGAGAGGAATGGCAGCGAAATTGCGTGGTAGACGTATCAGCGATGGGGCTAGCACCCTACCGGACGATATCACCGAAACAGAACGGTGTATCTCAGAGCGCTGGGAATCTGTGCTTGATGCCCTGGCAATTCGAAAACAAACCATTGACAGGCCCTCAGACAGGCGTATGATGGCGGGTCGGGTTAGGAGGTACTCGCAGTCCAGGATCAATTCTTTTACAAAAAGTGACCTGCAAGCAACGCTAGCCGTCTTTGGGCGTGGCCTGGAACTAAGAGTTCCAAAGCTTGAGCTTGTCGCAGCTGTTCTACAGCTCAAACAGGACATTATTGACGAGACAGTCAACTTAGATGGGGGCGAAGATGGACAGCTGTCTGAAGACGCCA